ATCAACTTCTTGATGCTCACCAAGGTTTCCTGCCGATGCTAGTTCATCAGCAGGCTCAAAAAGAACCGTGTGCACTTCTGCAACATGGTCGCCCGCTGCCAAGCGCTTTCGCTTTGTAGCCGGCTGCTGATGTAGGCTGCTTTCGCCTGTTTGTAGTGCGGCTGCCACACGCTTTCGTGTAGCAGCCACTGGGTGACCTTTGCCACCATCAGTCTTTGTCCACTTTTGGACTTCACTGGTTTCGCTCGCTAGTCACGAGCCTTGCTTGTGCGCTGTCAAGAAGGAATGTTTCTTGAAGCAGCCCTTCTTGCAACAGATATGAAGACCCTTTGCACAATCTGTTGAACTTGAACAGGATCCCAAGTTGAATCCAAAGCATATCGGGCGGCCTTCCTCGTCGCAAGGAACACATCCCACAAGCTTCTTTGGCATCGGGGTTCTCTTCAATCTTTTCAACTTGGCTGCATCCTGTTTCTGTTTGTTGGACTCTTGTCTGTTCCTTTTCTGGTCCGTCTCCTGGGCCACCTTGACATTCTGGTGATCTGCTGTAGAAGCCTTAGGAACAGATGCTCGCTTTGGATGTGGCATCAGAATCCACTTCAACTCTGGACCTTCTAAAATCCGTTGAACGTGCACATCTAAGGGCAGCTCACCTGCTGGCCCAGGCTTGAACCCACCACGCGTGGCCTCTGCCAAGCGCACATGCAATTCACGATCTGCCGCTGCCAGCTGTTGCATTGTCACGGCGGCAAAACCTTCCAGTGGGTCCTTCTTGAGCTCAAAGAAGAGGTAATTGATGATCGATTCATGGACTTCAAAGGACATCGCCTGGGCGATCTCGTATGCAACCCCCCTCCTCCTGAGAGCGTTGTGTACGTCCAGCTCTGTGCTGAGGATTGCCTGCATTGATGGCTCTTTGGACGTCGCCTTGATGGTTCCTGATCCATCAGCACGCCAAATCTTCAGATCATGGTCCTCCTTCACATTGTTCACTTCCTGTGTTCGGGACGTGCACCGGGACCATTCAATGTACCTGATGCGATTGTCCTCCACGCATTGCACAATCGAATTTATCAAATGGTGTGAAGGCTCCATGAAGTTTGACACCACCAACGGTTTAATACGAGCTTGAAGGAGCTCAAGTCTTTGAGAGATCTCCTGAGGTGGTAGTTTCCGGGGTGCCTCTAATTCGGTGGAGTCCACCTTCCTCCTCAATTCTGCAGAAGTCAACGTGTGCGACTCGAAGAATAACCTTCGAAGCTTCGCGGCATCTGGATGGTCAGGTGACCCAAGCAAAGGGACGATGACACCGTCCAGAAAAACTTGTTCATCGCCACCAGGTTGTGTGGCCACTGCAAATGCGTATGTGCCATGCGAGCCCCAGCCTTTCACCGCCATATCATGAATCACCTGATCTCCGAGGCCGATCGCTCGGGCTCTCGACTCAAAGACCGCACTGCTATCCACCAAAGACATGGTCTCTATGGAAGAGTCCGGAACGCTGTCGCAGCTCTAATGTTGAAGGTGACGTGGATTTTGTCAAACCACACATTGAAAATCTTCAGCCACTCCACGGTGATTGGCACCAAGTTCAAAAACAAATCAAAACTGTCACATGCGCGATTCCAAACGAAGTTTCACTGTTTCAAAAAAAACTAATGTCAAATGCCACTCTCTGTCTCAGTGGATTCTCATGACTTGTGCTCAGAATCAGCTCTCTGTCCTGAAGCCATCTATACCGTCACATGAAATACGTGTTCATGGTTTCATGACCCTGCGGTCATGGCTTGCACTTCAACTCTGTGACTGCCGCGCCACTGATCTGGAATGGAAACGAAAAAGAAATTCACAGTGATTCAAACATTTCTGCAGGAGTGGGTTCAAACACATGCCACACTGAACTCCGTTGACTCAACACAGTGTCTCTTTCTTTTTCAGGCCTGTGATGACCGAAGCTCTCAAGGTCTGCCGCTGCTTACCAGGGCACTGTGCCAGGACTGTACGATGCCACTGACTTTAGTGTCAACTTTTATTAATGAACGACATGTGTTCAAAAAAAATAAACACACAACAAACCTGCAAAGAAACTCTTGCGTTTGACATGTTGAGTGTTTCAAAATGAGTTGAGCCACATCGCTGACACTGAAGCCCGCGACTTTCCTCCCTTCTGGTCGGAGGTGTGGACATAGGTCCCTGTCGGATGCACACGTGACTCATCACAAGATTTGCAAGTCAGGGTTCTCAAATCACTCAAGTAAGTGAGAATTCGAAACAGATCGAAACAAATCTGCAACTGCAACATGACAAACACAACAAATGCACTATTGACATTTACACGTTGACCATCCAAGCTCCCTGCCGCAGTGAGACGATGCACTCAAGCATACACTGGTTTCACTGACATGTGATCCATGTAAAGTCAGGCATTTGAGGTATGAAACAACATGTCCACAGTGCAAATCCAAAGAAAAAGAACCAACATGCTGATAAACTCAGCTCCCAGCGAAACACCTTGCACATTTATAGGGCAGAAAATTTCCTGCCAAATCAACCTGCTCAAAATTTTTCGTTGCCAGTTTGCCGCATCTAAGAACTGTGGATTCACCATCATCCGGGTCAGCATTACCGTCTCGTGCAACATGACAGCATCCACTGATGACATGCCGAAACACAACTGCCGTGATATGCTCATCCAAGGACTGAGCCATCCCTTCGCCCACTATTGGCGCAGCAACCTGGGCTTCCATCTCCTCATCAGATGAGGTTAATTCCTTTCCAAGGACAGGTCTTTCACTGGTTTCACTGATGGAAGAAATGGATTCAGCTTCATCTGTTTCGGCAAAGGAATCCCCTGGTGAATAAGGTTCAGACGGCGGCGTAACAAGAGCAAAACCATCTGGCTCATCAAGATTCTGACAATCGTCCATGTCAGGTTGATACCAGAAATCCTCTGCATTCATCTGAGCAAGAAAAGTCATGACTGCGTGGAGTGAATTGCAACCCTTACGAGGCCACCGCTTTGAGCGCGGGACGTCGGGAACAAAGAGACCATGTTCCACCGCTGCAGTGATGGCTTCAATCGCCATCAGAACTGGAGCCTGGGCATCTCTGCTGTACTCCAAGGCCATCTTCGACCCAGGATCCGTGTGGTAGCCAGCAAGTCGTCTGAGGTCGCCCTCGCATCCAGCCTTGGCCATGATGCTGAGCCACGTGGCTTTCAGTGAATGTGTGCCCAGATCCATGGGATTGGGTATTGGTTCAAAGTGCCTCAAGATTTCCCTCAACCACGTAGTCGCCTGGCTAGGCTCTAGAGGAATCTGTGCCCATCCACCTGTCGACAACGGAGCCGGCATAGTTGGCACACCCGGCCCAGCTGACAGTCCATGGCTCCTTCGCTGATCCAGCCAAGGGGTTGCCCAGTCATATCCAGAAAGCCCAGGCAGCACACATGCTGCGGGGAGCAACCTCTTCGCATGCTTTTGCCTTCCAGCATTCTTGTGATGATAAAGCTGACACTCCAGAAAACCAGATTGCCCATTCAGGTCAGTTTCAGGCTCTCGTTGACAGTACTGACCATCGGACCATCTCAATCTCATGTGTAAAATCATGCATGCATAACCACAGAAAATGCACTCCGGCCCATTGCCAGCCGATGCAACTTGTTCCAGAAATCGCACTTGCTGTATGGTCAAAGGCGTCTTCTTCTTGGGTATCACCGCAGGGCCAGTGGCAGCACCTTTCACTCGAGAAGATCTCAGTGTCATGCCAACGTCTGCTCCAAGCATATGACTTGCGAATGCCAGAGCTTCCAGAAATCTCGTAGCCCTTGTCCGTGGTGCATTGTGTTCCCTCAACTCTCTGACGTAATCATATGCTTGGCACTCCGAAACTGGAAAAATTGTTGCATCAGGTGTTATACTTTTTCTCCATCTTCCATATGCCATCAAAGATGATGACCTTGAACGCAGAGTCGAAATGGCCCTGCCAGACAATGCATCTGAAATAGTCTGTTCGATTGTCTTCGATTGAGGCTCGCCTTTGAGAATAGCTTCAATTTGTCTGCCAACCATCGACCCGGCCAAGTTGTCCATCAAGATGACACGCCAGGATTCAAGCGATCTTGCCAGAGCTCTGTCTTGAGCAATCGGCCAGGGTATTACCGACGTAGTCCTGGACCATTTCAGTTGACCACCAGTTTGAGCCTCTTGTACCGAGATTGTCTCATGTTGACGAAAAAGCACAGGCACAAAAACAGGTGGTTTGATCAACCTCGGTGTTTTTGCCAAAACAGGGTTCACCGGGTCACGCTCCCAAGGCAGTAAAATCGCCGATCTCTTCACGCCTAATCTATAGGCCTCAGCGTGAATCATCAGATCCATGGCCAGCAGGCAAACGAAAAATCTCACTACCCCCATTCAGCCTCCGGGTAGTGAGAACTTTTATCCCACCCACCCTCCCTTGAAACTTAAAATACCGAGAGTTGAAAAGTCAAACATTCGACTGACAGCACACTGTGAGAATGTTCAGACATTGTTTGAAACAAAAAACAACAAACACTGTTTGTTTTGTTTCATGGAGTTCAGAAGTTAAACTTCCATAACTTCCGCACGCACGCGTGGAGGAAGAGCGTCGCGTAGTAGAAGGGAGAGGACGGTGGCATCCCACCTGTGAGCAAGGTTTTATAAAGGCTCATCACTAAAGTGAGACGCAACGGCTTTGGTTTTCGAGCAGGATCCTAGTCATTTCGCGAACTAAAACTTCGGGGTCCTTAAGAGCCCTGAATGAATGTCACACTGATAAGAACAGACTCTCACTGTGTTTTCCTCAACGCTTGTGATGATCTTGTGATTAGCTGGCTAAAGGTACTTGAACCAAAAGGTAGGCAGAATGGGGGCCAGTAAGATACCCTTCGAGTCGGGTGTTATCCTGTTAGTTGGTCTGTGCTAGGATATTTCGGGTTTGCCCCAGCCTTAGGTTCAAGGCCCACTAGCCTGCAAATTCTAACCACTACCCTTGGGGCGTGGATATATTTCGATCGGATTCGATCGACTAAACGTGCCACGCATGCAACTCAACAGGCTGTCTCTTGAGATTTTGCCTTTTGTCAATCCATCTGCTGCCATATCTCGAGTATCCACCCATCCAATTATCTTCAAAAGACCGAGGTGCAGCATTTCTTTTAGCCAACTGATATGGCTCAGCAAAGACTTTTCACTTGGTGCTTTGAACGATTCCTGGATTATGGAATGGTATACGGACATTGCATCAATTAGTAGCTTAATTGCAATCAATAAGCCACCTGACTCTCTGATTTGGAGTGCTTCATCGGGTTTTAAACATCCGGCTTCGGTCTCATGGAGGGTGAGGGCAATGCCAAAAGCATGGTCCACTGCGGAAGTGGCTGCTAAAAGCTCTGCCCCGAATGTGGAACGGACAACTAATTTGTGTGACTGCGATAGTGCATCCAACAAGTGTGAACATTCCTGACCTTCGGCACTTCTACCTAACCGCAAACAAATCATACCTTTCAGTGCATGTGCTGTATCCCCTTCCCTGGAGTATGCACTATCTGAATAAACTTCGAGAATGTGTTGGGGTCATGCAATGGTAGTACAGCTTTTGGGGATTTCTCATTAACTCCCGGGTCAGGGCATTGAGTCTTTTCAAGTCGGATACACTAGCTTGCTTATTCTTTCTCTGCAGGGCTACAATATAGACAAGAATCCAAACTTGCGTCAAACTTGTATACGCCACTGCGCCCAACAGTGACATGAACAAGGCTTGCTGATGTTCACTACAGGGCCCGTCTATATCGTAACCTTGATAATGCTTTGGGTGGATTGGTTTGAAAGCTTGAATGTATTCATCTTGGTGCATTACGATATTCCCACTCTTGTCTCTTTCATGGGTCATACCACAATTTGTGAACTTATCAAATTGCAGGGTCATTTTGCCGAAGGTCGCTTCCAACAATTTTACAAGTCGGTCAATATCGTTCTGCCTTCCAGTGAATTTGATATCATCGACATGGATAGAAATCATAGCTGCCAACTCCTTATTTTTGAAAAGTAACATTAACTGGGGGTCATACATGGTGGATTGCATGCCAAAATTTCGCAGGGTTTTCATGAGTCTTAATGAGAACGCTCTCGGGGCATCTCGGCACCCTGTGCCAGGCTTAAGGCACGACAATACATGCTGATGCTCATTGAAGTTTTCGAAATTTGGCACGCATCGCAAATGCTTTAGGGTCCCTTTAGGGATTGTGAAAGCTATATATTTACGTGGTTCTCTGGTTTCAGCTTCGAGCTCGTCAAATGTGAGTCCCTGGAGAAAAGCTTTTGGTACATCTGCGGCACCAAAAACCCAGTCTGGGTGAGTAGCAGCTGTGCTCGCCAAGATTCTCTGCGATAGCCTTTGTGCTGTACCAGCGTAATTTTGTTCTCCGTCTTTTACTGGCTCCTTGAAGCCTCGCAGGGCAAGGCGGGCACGGATTCCCCTTTTACCGTCGATGTATTTCCACTTTAGAACCATGCGAGAATCTATGATTATTTGGGCATCTTTGCGATTAATTATTTCGAAACAACCATATTTACTCCAAGTCTTAAATTCTGAGATGATGGCTTCATCTACCTGCTGTTTATGGGTGACTTGCTCTTCAGAAGTCATGATGTCAGTGTCGCGGCTGATGACTTCTTTTTTTGCATCAGAGTTCAGGTAGATTTTCATACTTAGACAAACATTTTGGGAAAGACCATCCATGAAGTATTGGGAAATTTCTGGATCGACAAAGGTTTCGACGAAACTGCCAACTGAATCCCGCTCTAGTGTGTCTGGAAACTCCCGCTGCTTGTGCGCAACAAATTGCGCAGGGTCAAAGGGATCTTCTGATTCAGCGCAGAAATTTACGGCAGCATCAGGCTCAAAGGGAATGACATCAAATGTTGAAGGGTCTTCATTCACAGCCAGTTCGCAAAGCTCCAGCAACAGGCTTGCGTCTTCTTTCGGCGAGTCTGCAAAATGCTTCATGAACAAAATTTCGGCTTCATTGGAAATTTGATGACTGCTAGTTTCCTCAGGGATTGTACTTAGTCTGTGGTTACTGGCCGCGCTATGTGGCGTTGGGTTTCTGCTTGACGCCTCTTGATCCACAGGTTCTCTGGCCGGCAAGCTATCTACAACGTCTTCAAGGAGGAGTCCGCGCGCTTGGTCCAATTTGAAACATTGCAAAATGGCAAAATGCTCTTGTTGAGAACCAAATGCTTTCGTAACGTTTAGTTTGGATTGGTCACTGGTGTGCGTGCTTACATGGTCTGGGTTTAACATATCCCAATTTAGTGCTACATTAAACTGGGTTCCCTTTTTGTGTGGGAGGTTTCTGACTTCCCGACCAAGTCTAGCGGCACACACATCGTACATTTGCAGAGAAGTTCTGATCAAGTAGTTTAATGCGCGGGCTATGGTTGGCCATTTTCTGCTTGCTTGCGTGACCACTTGATTACCCCAATCGTCAGTAAGTCCAAAACATTCAATACGATTTGGGGGCAATGATTCCAAAAATTGGTGAACGCAATTCAAAGCTCTTTTGGCGACGTCTGCTGATGTTGTTCCCAACAGTGTTGTTATAAACATGGCATGACGAATGTCTTGAATGCGATATGGCCGATTGATACCCCCAACCTTAAGAACAGCAATGCCATCGAATGCTCTACACTCAACTACTCGGTATGGTCCTGACCACCCTGAACTGTCCTTGTTCGCAGGTGTTCTGTATAGTTCAACGAGGTCATCAGGTTTGAACCTGTCTTCAGCTGTTAATGTAGTTGGCGTTTTTAGAGCAAGGGATACCCTGGCTGCACTGGTGGCCCCTATCATGGCCTGGAGGGCAATTTCACGAATGCGTGCATCTCGTCGCTCATCAATGCTTGGGTCATCTGTGATGGGTGGCAACATGGCTGGCTGTCGACCCATGACTACTTGATATGGCGTGACACCGCCCACATGTGTGAGCGCATTTCCACTGAAAACACATTGGGCTAGTAGCTCTTTAAATGGCAAACTTATACCTTCACGAACTGCTTGCGCATCAGCTACGTGAAGGGCATGTCTTAGTATGGCTCCTCTTCGCTCCACGTACCTGGCATGTTGGTCCTTTCCTCTTAATTTAAGCTTTATGCCCATCCTCTTCAAGTGGGCTTCGGCCGTTGGAGTGCTGAGACCTGACTCAGGGTCGGAAACGAGGGTGCTCATTGGCCCAAAAATCGTAACCCAAGCTGTCGATACGTTTTCCAGCAACTGTGCTTCAGTTTTGTTTGGCGTCTGGATAGCTGAATGCCAGCGGGAAGCACGGCACACAAAATGTTGAATGATAAACTCTTTATAAAATAGGAGATCTGTTTCGACTACTTCATTGAAAGCCATTGCTACTTGAACGGACGGCCTGGTGTCTTTCGGCCTGGCTGTCCACATTCTGCATTCTTTGCATGTGGCAATGATGTCAGGGATGCTATTAAGGACTTCTTGGGAAACCCCTGCGTTCCGGAGAAGGGATGTCATGCTTGACACTCCGGCATGCCACAATCTTAAATGGACTTTACGAAGTGTTTTAATGATGGTGGGCTGATGCTGACTGCGGAATGCTCTCAGGCAATGTGTGATATCAAAACGAGTCCAATCAGATGCATGGGCATCACCTACTGCTGCATCTCGGAAAACTCTCCGGTGCCTATCTTCTCTATCAAGGCCACGGCCGCGGCTTTGCTCCTCTGGTTGTGGCATCATTTCATGGCTGCTGGAAGCTGGGTCAGGGTCGGGACGCTCTGCTTCTGGAGCCGGCGCTAGGTCAGAGCCGTCCGGGAGCTGGGCTTGCGCTTCGGCACCTGGAACTTCAAGAGCTCGTTTGGATGGTTCTCTTGGATGCGCGCCCTTTCTAAGCGTGGAACCGCGATGGGCAATGATGGCATGCTTGCAGTCTGGCCCATATGTATGGAGGTCATGAGCAGCTGGCTTGTCCTTTTTGCATCCCTGGCAGTCCCAAACAATCTGCTCGGTGTCAGGCCAACGACATTTACCCTGTGTTCTAATATGTCTAGCATCATATTTAGACATGTGGCTGCGACATGCTGGACACTCGCTGAATGCGGTGCGTGAGTCTGCACGTGAATCTGTTGGACCTACAGCGACAGTTGGAAACTGATGGGACAGGCGAGGCGCGTGCCTTTTTGCAATGACACCATCAACAACAGCATTTGCCATCTGCCATGGCCATGCCGGGCAACTTTGGGCCTTTGCTTCCAGCACTTCATGAACGTGCGTTTCTGGACAAACAAAAGCGGCTAATGGCAAGAGAAGAGCAGGGCTGTTGCTTACAAGACTGGTAGGTCTTTTAACAAGGCCACCTTTGGGGCCTTTGAGCCCTGCAGCACATTGGTGCATCAGTAGGTGCTTGGTTTGCGGGTCAGCAAATAACACCTTCCACACATGTTGGCACCACAATGCGGTAGGAAAAGGCTGCTCTATCAGATAGGATAAACCTTTTTCATTAACTGCATTAGCAACCTGCCCCGAGAAGCTGCATGTTGGGGCGCAGGTCATGATGGTTACAGTGGGCTTGTGGGAACAAATGAACGTGAGAATTTCCTGTTGATTATGCTGGTTGTGTTGGAAAGAACAGGTAAAGCTTAAATTAGTTCCACTCGTTAAACCCTGTCGGACCGCCACGCTGCTGGATTTTGTGGACAGCCCACAGAGCTCGAGAATATCTACTGGGTTCCTGTCTATTTTGGCAAAGAACGTTTCTAGCAGTTGGTGCTGTGAGGCAGGGTGGTACATGAATTGGAACGCCAAATGTCCGGCACTCTTTTCCTCGAACTTTTCTGGATCTATGCCGAGTCCTGACAAATCAGTCCCACAATCATCAAAATGATTTAAGAAATTTTAAACGTTTCTTTGGCGCAATTCCCTACGCTTTTCGCAGCTTGGCCTTTGCTTTTTGCTGGGTTCGTTCTTGTGGGAAAATGGTGTTGCACGCATGGACCACATGGAGCTTGCTTAATGCCATGACTTTGTGGCTCATGCGACACAGATTCGCTGGTAAGATGATTACAAGAGTTGGGTGTTTCCTGTTTAGTTGTTGTACTGGTTCCATGCACATTTGAAGGGCCCAAGGAGGAGTTCCCCTTCATCACATCTGATGCTCCTGGGATAACCAGTACGGAGTGACATGCAAGAAGAAGCTGCTTGGCAATTTGTGCTGTGGCCTGCGCCCTATTTCGAGACTGCCCTTCTGTGTTCCAGTCCATCACGTGTGCTTTGGTTGGACACTTGCAGGAATGACTGGACACTGGCATGTGAGTACTTAAGGAGACAAAACACGCACTTGATGGCACAACAGCATCTGGGTCAATTTTGATACCAAAGTGGCAAAGCCGGTGAAAATGTTTGGTGATTAGGCTCCTTTGGGATGTTTGATGAATATCAACGTTTTGCCAAAACGTGCCGAATGCTCCTAGAACAATACACA